AAAAAAAAAAAAAAAAAAAAAAAAAAAAAAAAAAAAGTTGTTTAATGTGATTATATGAAAATTAAGGATTTTTGTCCAAAAAAGACACCATGAACAAAGTAAATCAATGGGTGACATCCTGGAAAGAGATATTTGCAATATGTAATATTGACCTAGAATTACTATTTCACATATGCAAGGAAATCCTGCAAATAAATGAAAAAACTGAGCAAGGGATATGAACAGGAGATTTATAGAGAAGGAAACTCAAGAAACTCATACAAAAAGATGCTCAGACTCAAGTTATCTAAAATATTCAAGTACAACTAACATATATATAAGAAAATTAAATTTAGAAAAGAAATATATCTCAATAAAGCTGTAAAAATAAAGAGGATAGGAAGCTATGTTGGTGGGAGTGTTAACTAGTACAGCCATTATGGAAAACAGTATGGAGGCTTCTCAAAAAATTAAAAATAGAACTACCATATGATCCAGCAATCCCACTACCGTCATATAGCCGAAGGAAATGACGTCAGCATGGCAAAGACATATCTGCACTACCATGTTTATTGCAGCACAATTTACGGTACCCAATATATGGAATCAACCTAAGTGTCAAACAAAGAATGAACAGAATTAAAAAAAAAAAAAGTGGCATATGTATACAATGGAATATTATTCAGCCATAAAAAAGAATGAAATCCTGTCATTTACAGCAACATGAATGGACTTGGAGGTCATTATAATAAGCAAAGTAAGCCAGGCACAGAAAGACAAATATCACATGATCTCACTCATATGCAGAATCAAAAAAAAATTGATATTATAGAGACAGAGAGTAGAACAGTGGTTATGGAAGCCTGGGGAGGGGCAGGAGGATGGAAAAACAGGAAGAGTTTGGGCAAAAACTCAAAGATTTTTATTATCTTTTAATTCTATTTTTCCATGAAATTTTTGAAGTGCCTTGCATTTATTAGGTGGATTTGTTAAAAAAAAAACTTTGAAAGTTAAATACAAAATTACAATTAGAGAAGAGGAACAAGTTCTTGTGTTTTATTACACAGTAGGGTGACTGGTTAACAGTTAAGTTCTGTATATTACATAATAGCTAGAGGAAAGGTTTTTGAATGTTTTCACCACAAAGAAATAATAAATGCATGAGGTAGTAGATACGTTAACTATATTAACCCAATCATTATACAGCATATATATGTATTAAAACATCAGATTATACCCCATACGCATGTACAATTACAATGTGTCAATTAAAATAAATAAATAAATTTTAAAAATTAATTGAGAAACATGAAAGAAAAAAGTTCATGGAAAGATTTTTATTATCTTTTAATTCTATTTTTCCACGAAATTTTTGAAGTGCCTTGCATTTATTAGGTGGATTTTTTTTTTAAACTTTGAAAGTTAAATAACCCCAAGTATTAGCAGGGATATAGATTGGTGTAGTCATTTTGGAAAGTAATTTG